GGGAGAATTTATTGTATATATAATGTCGCCAACCGTCCGCTTGCGACGATTATTTAACAACCCCCCAAAAAATTGCACCGCTCGATCGCCGCGTCCGCGGCGCAATAACGAAGCCAGCAACGACCTCAACAATAAATAAACGCCTTTTTTTTCTGTCCTTTCCGTATCTTCGATTCCAAATTTCCCTCGCGCCCTCTCAGAAAACCGAAAAACTATGCCACCCCCGCGAACAAAATATCACGAAGCTCGAATCATATCAGCCCGTGATTCGCCAAAAAGACCAACACCTGTTGACATCCCCTCGAAACAATACAAACCGCCTTAAAGCTCAGAGTAATCGGTGCAAGAAGCCGCGCGGGGTTAAAAACGCGCTGGAAAGCTGCGTCGATAGAACGCCGCGAAGTTTCCGCGAGAAATGCGACCGGTTGCCGGATTCCGTGGATTATAAACGCAGCCGAACGGGAATTGCGGATCTCCGCGACTGACACCGAGAGAGGATAATCGAATGCGTGTCCGAGTGGCGGATTCCACGAGCTTCAGTTTGTCCCCGGGTTCATATATAGTATTGGGTTGGCAACTAAGTAATTGCCGATTTGTTCAATGAAATAAAAAATTCTTTTTCACTTGGAACGAAGTTTAATCTGTAATGTATTTTCCATTTTGTTCGATGACCTTTTGCCATCTCTCCGACAACTTGAAAATTCCACTCTCGTAGAAAGTCTGATCGTTTTCGGCCAAAAACTGAGTTAAGTGAGATTTTACAGCGTCATCGTCGTTAAAAGTTTTACCACGAAGGGAGTTGTCCAGGGATCGAAATAAGTGGTAATCCGATGGCGCGAGATCAGGGCTATACGGTGGGTGTAACATTAATTCCCAACCAATATCCATCAATTTTTGCCGAGTGGACAAAGACGTGTGCGGCCTAGCATTGTCCTGCTGGAAAATGACACCTTTACGATTGACCAATTCTGGTCGCTTTTCCTTGACCGCTGCATTCAATTTGTCCAGTTGCTAACATTCACGGATAATAAAAAATAACATAATAATAATAATAATAATAATAATAATTTTATAACATAATATTTACGGATATCATAAAAATGTGGAGTGAGAGACATCTATAACTGAAATCGGTAATTAGTTGCCAACCCAATATATATAATACTATATAATACTATACTATATAATACTATACTGTACAATACTATATATAATATATCTCTCTCTGAGCAGCGGTGTTGTCGTCATTGTCGTTGTTGTTATTATAAACGCGGCTTCTCGTTTGCATTCGGTGCGCGACCGGCCGCGCCGATTAGGACAATGGGGGACGGGGGACACCTGCGAATGCGGCGCAAGGTAGCTCCGTGCCGGCCGGGGCATTGTAAATTTTTCTATGGAGACTTGGCCCAGGTCAAAAACACCTTTCAATTCGTTCACGAAGCCGGCCAGCGTTGTTCGCCGTTCGACGGACAAGTTAATCCCGCACCTTCGCCGGCCCACACACACAACGTCGGTCCCCTTCCCCCGCCCCTACGCGGGCTGCTGCATCTACCGGCCACCCTAACCGATCGTAGGGTCGTAAAGCGAAACAAAGAAAGCGAACGGTACTCGAGCAAATGATTTAAGAGCTCTATGGAATTATTAATTGCGCCCTCGGCCCGCCCAGTCGCAAAATGCCATAAAACGGCCGCGTAATCGTACACCGTTCCTCTCGCCCTCTCTCTCTCTCGCCCTCTCTCTCTCTCTCTCTTTCTCTCGCTCTTATACATACATACAAATTCACCGGCCCTATCTTTGTCTCTATTTCTCCGGTTCTCCGTGTAATGACACGGCCTATTAGCATTTTACAGTAATGTCTTCTTAAGTGACGCTCAGATTGCCATTTACTAAAATGGATAATTTGGGAAGAGGAGAAACGATTGTTCGAGCCTCGCGGCTCGTTTTTATATTTCTTGACGATTCGTAACTGTGAAAACGAACCGCAAGCTTCGAATGAATCGCATCTCCTCTTCCCAAATTGTCCATTTGACAAACCGAGCGTCAATTAGAGGGACATTACCGTACAGTAATGTCTCCCTTACTGACGCTCGGATTGTCGGATACGATTATTCGAGCCTCGCGGCTCATTTTCATAATCGTGGACAATTTATAATTATAAAAATAAACCGCAAGCCTCGAGTAATCGCATCTCCTCTTCCCAAATTGTCCATTTGACAATCTGAGCGTCAATTATCGATACAATAATGTCTCCCTTACTGACGCTCAGATTGTCAGATGCGATTATTCGAGCCTCGCGGCTCATTTTTATAATCGTGGACAATTTATAACTATAAAAACAAACCGAAAGGCTCGAACAATCGTATCTCCTCTTCCCAAATTGTCCATTCGACAATTCGGGCGTCGATTAGAGGGACATTACCATAGCCGGTGTCTTTTCACCCTCTTAACCAGTGAAATCCATCACTGGGGCCACCTAACCGTATCGCCTCCGGGCAAACAAATTATTCGTACAATTAGAGGGGGAGGGTGGTGGTGGGGGTTGTGGGGGGAGCTCCCGTGCTGGCTGTTTATTTGTTCCGAATTCCCGATTCCCCGTTCCATTGTTTACGCGCATTGCCACGTGCGTTAAACAGCGGATATCGGGAAAGGGTTGAACGAAATCACGCGGTAATTCGGCGGCGCGTATATCGAGCCGAACTATCCGGAACACCTGTTAGTTCGGCGGAATATAAATTTGCCGTAGGTATAATTATTAGAGTCGCCGCCGCCGCCGCCGTCCGGCTCGCTCGTCCGCGCCGG